TATGTGTGAAAATTCTAAAAATATGTAACTTAATGAAACAAAGATAGCAATTTATATTGTGTTTTAAGCTATAGGAAAAAATGCAGAAAAAAATATTTAAATGTTTCAAAGAGGTGATATAAATTATTTTGGACAAGACTGAAAAGTTGTATTTTCATACTGTTCTGTACAAGTTGACCAAAGTACTACACATATAAAAAGTGCTACTCCTCTGACAGCTATATTTTTGAATTCTTATTTATATATTAATGATGTGTATATATATATATATATATATATATATTGTAAATCAGTGAATTAATTTTTTTTAGGACAAAGGGTTTCCATTATGTAATATAAAATATAATTTTTAATATAAAAAGGAAATTAAGACCAGCATTTTTTTTTTGCAACTAAAGACAAGCATAATTCTAAACTGGAATTAACCGGATCTATCCTAAGTAGGGGTGGGCACGGATCGGATATCCGGGTTTTCGAAGGTATTTGTGATTTGCTTCGTATGTTACGAATATCTGATTTTGGTATTTGCTTTGCTTCGGAAAAATACGGATATCCGGAAAAACGGATATCCGGAAAATAAACAGATATTTGCGGATATTTACGAATACTTACGAATATCTCATCCATTACAAATAATCTTATATAAATTTATCCGGAAAATAAACAGATATTTGCGGATATTTACGAATACTTACGAATATCTCATCCATTACAAATAATCTTATATAAATTTATTTTGTAATTTTTTTTACATGATATATAAAATAAAAAATAAAGAAGTAGTGAATTTACATATTTTATAATTTTTATGGTTAAGTTAACAACTATAATAACACAAAACTTAAGATTTTTTTTATAATTTTCATACTTTTTCTCTTCTTTTTATCTAATAATTTTATATAAGTAATAATGTGAATTTAATTAGTTAAATCATAAGCTATAAATATAATTTTATATATTTACAATTTTAAATATAATCAAAATATACATATATTTATATATTTCCGGATCGGATATCCGCTTCCCAAAATTTTAATATTTGTGATTTGCTTCGATTTTAACGGATATTGATTTTTAATATTTGCTTTGATTCGAAAGTTTACGGATATCCGGAATTTTCGGATCGAATCGAGACGAATAACGAATCGAATCAAATTTAACGAATAAAATGCCCAGCCCTAATCCTAAGTGACTACTACATACCCACATAATCATGACAAAAAAAAAACCCACATAATCGGCGAAGAAAGCCAAATCGCATTAGCAGCTATAATAGCTCTCGTATGTTTTGTATCTGGAAAATAACAACTTCACCGACGCCGTTGTTCAAAGTACCTGGAAAAATAAACAAAACAGTCCCACCGGCAAGAACCAAGTGGATTCACCGATGCTGGGAAGAGCTAGCTTTGCACATATGCAAGTGCATGTCTATTATACAATCGGTGTTAGTGCACGGTGACACCCATAACAACTCACACAACAAAGGCGGCTACGATCTCTTTCGTTGGATCCGCATGACTATTAACTTGATTTGCTCTATTAAAATGATTGTTATCTATGAATATTAACTGGGATAAAAATTTGTGTGCGGGGGTTATATAATTTACATTTTACCCGTCACATCATTAAGGAAATCACGTTTGTCTCTATGCATACAAATATGTAGGTTTGGACGTTTTCAAGGACCCATCAAATTTAATTTGGTTGATTCAGAATTTTGGTATTATAATTATAAATCTTGTTCAGATTTTACTAATTTTTAATCAGACTCGGTTAGGTTATTTTCAAATTTAGTTAGGATCGGATTATAACAAAAATCTGAAATCATTTATTTTTTTTTTAAAAAAAAACTTTAAAAGTAACAAAATAATATTCAAAAATATAATTTATTCAAAACTCTAATTAAAAACTAGTTAAACTAATTAAAAAGCATTCAAAATAAAAAATAAAATAAACTACAAAAATCTTTGAAATACTTTAAAGATCTAAACTTACTTTAATAGATCTAACACATTGACATATTTACTTAGTTTGGATAACTTCGGATTCTAATTTAACTTTCTTTTCAGTTTAGATTATACCCAAACACAAAAATACCATACATTTATGTGAGATTTGGGTATTTTTATATAACGATTTGGATGTTTTTTTGCTTTTTTGGTTTGGTTTGGATTAAGATCAAAGTTTCAATTTGGGATAAAAATTTCACATGTCCATAAATATATCTTTTACGGCTTTCTGTCTTCTCTGTATCGAAGAGACAGAAGAGTTGTGCTTATTACGTATGGCGATGAAGTCATAATTTATTAAAAGTATGAAGAAAAAATGTTGTGTAAACTTTTTTAAATGACTTGTGTCTTTTATTTTAAAATATATAATTGTGTATCATCAAATACAATAAAATTTTTATAATTTAATATTTGTTTATTCAGACGACAAAATAATAATATATTTTTTTTTGTAAAAAATCTTATATAAATATATAGTCCCATTATAGTATAAAATTAATAATTTATATGTGTACATATTTTATATATTAAAAAGAAAAATTATATTATTTGTGTTATATTCCTAATAAATTATCTTTATATTTTCTTAATACTTAATATATTTTAATGAGATTTAATAAAATTATATCTAAAACCATATTTAAATTTTATTAAACATGTTATATATATATATATATATCAAAGAATATAATAAAACTAATAGAAATAATATTTTTCAAATATTAAATCAATGTATATTTTTTTTTATAGTGTATATATATACACTAAATCAAATACTTTTCTTCTTTAAGAAAAAGTATATTTTAAAACATAAAAATATAAATAAGGAAATTTTAAATAAATTAATAATTCGTTAAAGAAATAAAATATCATAATTTCAACCTTTTCAATTTATAAATTTTTAACATACTTACGTGTGGGATGTTATATGCATAAAAAGTGATTTGTATATAAATGATGCAAAAATAATTTCATTATAGGACAAGTACTGTTGTCCAAAACAAAGGTGATCTGTATATAAATGATGCAATAATAATTTAACTAGGATAAGACCCGCGCCTTGCGCGGGATGAAGCTATTATTTTTATTATGTTTTGAAAAATGAAACAATAGTTCGGTTTCATTCGGATTAAATGTGCTCAATCCGGATATCGGGTTTCGGTTCGGCTCAATTTTTTGTCCGATTTTTTGGTATTTCGATCATTAAAATATAACTACTATTCTAAATCTATATGTACTACAGTTTGATTTGGTTTATATACCATCGGTTTTCAGTTTATTCAATTTTATACCAAAAAACATAATTATTTAGTTTGAGATCATATTATATATTA